ATACGACTAGTGGCATACTAGTATAAACTAATCATTATGTTGTCAATTTGTAAAATATGTATTGCGGTTATCGGATTAACTAGTAATGACGCTTATGTTATGTCATCTTATGTTTTTAGCCTCTATATTCAAATGACAGCTAATTGAATATTATTCGCATTTTGCCATGTTTTATTTAAAGCGTGGCTTGAGTGTTTTTCTCAACTCTTACATTTCCACATTAGCGGCGGGGCTTTGTACAAAAGATCCAATATTCGTATTTAGCATAATTATAGCCACGATAGAAGTTTAATTATTGAAGAACTAATTATTGTGTTGTCAATTTCTAAAATATGTATTGCGTTTATCGGATTAACTCGTAATGACGCTTTTGTGGTTGTACGTTCATCACCCTATTCAAATGCCCTTTTTATGATGTTACAAACCTCGGCCGAATATTAATATTTCGACCGTTCCAACGACTCATTCTTATAATACATTATTAACGTGTTTAGGAATAATATGACATCTGTAATAGGATATATAGACATCTGACCAGTGTTCCCTCTAAGAAAATGCTACACTGAGCAAATGTTTGTTTTACCGAGAATGAATATATTAACGCTTATCAGAGTCTTCAAACGATGTGAAATACATTACAACAGTATAATATATTATCGGAATTCAAACAAAGTACAAATTTAACTAGAAAACACTGAACGGGCATTCTAATAGACGTTAGAAAATATAACCAGCCATGCTTTGAAAACTAATTTTGCAAGCGCGCGAGATTCAAACTTTACTGCGTAAATGGTCTGTTGCATGATGTCTGCCTCTATCGTTACGTAATTTACAATTTCTATTAGAAGATATATTGAGTGATATCCCACCATTTTACGTATAAATTTAAAAAAAAGTGCAGGTGTTTTTAAATGAATATACACAGAATTAGAATTAGAGAATACATTCGGAACCACATTAAACTTACGGGCCCGAAAAATTCGCCGTAGGAAATCTCGCTGTAGGAAATTTTGTCGCATAGGCATTTTGCTGTAAAATAAGTATTTTAGGATTATAGGGTTAGGGTATGTACTTAAATAACGAATCTTTTTTTTATAGAGCGATTTTTTTTGAGACAGCGATTTTTTTTATGCGACGAAACTTCCTACGCGGAATTTCCTGCGGTAAACTTTCCCAGAACTTTGAATTTGTAAGCATGCAAATTATTGTTCCGACTAAAAACCGTAACGGCCACGAGCCCAAAACACGTGAGTTTCACGAGTCTTCTCGGTCGAAATTGCGATTCAAGCTACGAAAAATTGCGTGTGATACAGTGATGTATGATACAAATCAAACTGTCACATCTCAAAAAGTTGGGGGAAGGGGGGATAAACGAGGAAAATCTCACTTAACAATCAATCTACTCATGGCTCAACAAATAGCAGAGATATGACATATATTACGTGAACTTCTGGATATTTTATAAAAAAAAAATGCAATTGGACCCGCCAAAGTTGTGTGCAGTTGCAACCGATGGCTGTCCCTCGGGACCAAGGGCGTGTCCAGATGGGAGCCATAGGGGCAGCCTCATCCAGTATCATTTTGTAGGGGGCTGTACATTAAAGGGTGCTCCAGAAGTATGCGCACCAAGATGTCGCACAACCTGAATCCAAACCGGTATACACATACTATGTTCAGGTGGTGCGCCATCTTGGTGCGCATACTTCTGGAGGTCCCATTAAAGTTTATTGTTCAGTTTGGTGATTTGAATATTATTAATAGCACAAACATTTCACTCATACTTGACCTTTGATTTATTCATTTTCATGTATAACAACATCTATAATTTGTTCATACCCCGATAATATTTTAAAGTTAGATATGAGGGACATCGTTATCAGAAACTCGCTACGGGCAACAGAAAAGGTCCTCGCTCCTGGCCGCTGCACACAATTTGAGAAACAAAAAACCACGACTTGGGAACGACACGAGAATATCCCAACCTCACGCACGGAATTTAAACTTTGGTTATGGAACAGGTTCTTTATTTGTTTCTTATCAAAATTATCAGAACCAACATCTCAACCGATTTACTGACGATCATTAAAAGCAGCTTTTTCGATATTCCCGTAATATGTATACCAAGTTTAGATTAGGGCAATATTTTCATTCCGATTTTTCTTATTTTAGTCCTATTACGAGTTCGGGGTCTGTCTGTGTTAGCCAAATGAATATACCCCTGCCCATAGGCTTTCGTCCCTTCACACAACTTGATGTAAAGTAGGCGAACAAAATTAGTTACCTCCTTATTGGTACACACACTTCTGAAGCGCCGCTTTTTCGCCATGCATACTTCACGGTCGCGCCCCTCTTTGAAAAACTTATTGAAAGTTCCGCATTGGATTGGTTTTCATTCTGAGTTTGTTTGTTCTGAATACGAAGTGTACATCGCGATCGTTTTGATATTATGTTGTTGTTTTTTTTTTTTGGGTAAAAATCGCTTTTCTCTTTAAATACTGGACCCATTGCTTTGAAATTTCCAGTGGAGATTGTATTTTTCGCTAGAAGACTATTACTTTCAGTTGTGCAAATGGACTGAAACCTATGGATGGGATATGTTCAATCGGCTAACACAGACAGTCCCCAAACTCAAAATTGAACTTAAATAGGAAAAATTGGAACAAAATTATGGCCAAACCTGGTACACATACTACGTTCCGGTGTCCGCCATCTTGATTCGCATACTTCGGGAGTACCGTTACGTTTGCGTTAGGTTATGACTTCGCTTACTAGAGCTGTGAGGTTTTGATATTATTTGGCCATATTTTCATAAAATCACACTCAACAGCCGTTTGTTCTTCCAAATTTAATTTTACATGTATTAAATTAAAGCATAACTGAAACTACGACTTATCAATTTATCAAACCGGATGCACTCGAAGACGAACTACCTTTCATACCTCATGGCGCGGCGCTGTGGCTCATCATGCTAAAGCGTTAGGAATACGCTCGCCACCGCACCTCTGATTACTCTGCGTGGGTTCGCAGGTTCGAATCTCATGCGGGGATGGTTATGTGCGAGAGGATTGCTGGACTCCTCGCCGCCGTAGGGTGGTTCACGTAACCGCTGGTCGTTAACGACTTCCTCCATCATCAAGTCCATGCTTCCGAAAACAAATAACTAACTAATCCCATACCCGACCTGGACTGGTAACCGGACGAGAGGCCGTGGTTCGCCATATGGTTAAGCCGTCTTATCGGCTTTCCTCTCCCCGGAATAAATATATAAATCCTATCTTATAGATTAGAAGACGAAACCATGATATGACGTCACTATAGTGCAAAGAAATAATTGTTATGTCATATTGTGATCGAATTAGCAAGCGCTTGTAACGCAAGGAACGCCAAATTTGAGTACAGTCTTGTCGAAGTGTGTAAATTACAAGTGTAGTGTAAATCGAAGTGTGTAATACGTCTTGAACGTTTGCGTTTTAACGTTAGAAAACGAGTCAGTGGCGTACTGACGAGAAGAGAAGTGTTGACGGGCGCGATTGTGTACTTCAAGTATAGTACAGGAGTAACAAATATAAAGTATAACTCTGGAAACGCCAAAAATAACGCTAATCGTTTCTAGCTGTCATATAATGCTGACATGTGCTAACTACGGCTTGCGGGCCAAATCCGGCCCGTTGGGTTATTCAATCTGGCCCTGCAATAGGCTTGTTAGATTATAATCGTAATCTGTGTAAGTTGTTATTTAGGTTGCAACAGACTTTGATGATATCGGGCGTCAACAAAAATTCATCAACATATTAATTTACATGTATTAAAGCATAACTGAAACTACGACTTGGCAATTTATCAAACCGGATGTACTCGAAGACGATATACCTTTCATAGAAGACGAAACCATAATGTGACGTCACTATAGTACAAAGAAATAATTGTTCTGTCATATTGTAACCAAATGAGCAAGTGCTTGTAACGCAAGGAACGGCAAATTTGACTACAATCTTTTCGGAATATGAAAATTACAACACGTCTTGAACGTTTACGTTTTAAAGTTAAACGAGTCAGTAGCGTGCTGAGGAGAGGGAAAGTCGTGGCTGGCGCGATGGCGTACTTAAGTGTTTCTCAAACTTTCGTGATTGGTCCCTCTCCCGAGCCTCCGAATTTAAATCGATTTTTTATGAAATTAGCTAGTTTTTACCTGTTGTTTATTTGCCACGCTTAATAATAAAGAGCCAACAAATAAAAACCAAATTTTAAATTAGTTTCGGTGAAAACTATTAAATCAATCGAGGTCAATTTGCTCAGTGCTTAGTCTTCGCGTGGTTATCGCTTTCAAGGTATAAATTAGTTTTTGTCGCAGCATAAAGTACATTGAGAGAGGATGATACAAATATTCTACTTCATATGATTACTCTGACTTACTGTTCAAGGTTATATATATATATACAGGAAGCCAGAACGCTAGACCGAATTATATGTGGAATCAACTATATTTTCCATGTCTCCGTTTTCCGCGAATTTGAGCAATTCTTGCAAAAAATTACTCAGAAATAATTTTATATCTTAACTCAAAATATTACTTATTCGGCTTCCACTTTTCGTTTTCAAAATGTAATATGACCCGCTTAGTTTACTGTTTAGGTTTATTTTAGTCTTCAGAACTGTGTACGCTGTTGTGATTTCCTTATACGATCGGTATCGTATTTCCAAATACCCAGGAATTTGAGCTCCCCGGTGCCGTTATTTCAGACTTTCGAAGTCAGTGTTAAAATTCTGAAACGAAATGGGCTATCTAATGCAAATTTTCGTGATAAATTTTTTGTCAGCGCGGTGTCGGGAGTCAAAATTTTCGCCAATCCGGAACCAACGTTATTTAAATGATTGTAATCGGGTTTTATTTATTGTTAGCATTAACACTAAAACTCTAATCCCAAACTCGAATACTCTCCATCCATCTCACGTTATCATTATGTTTTTTAATATTTTACATGCTCGATTAAATCTAAGTACTTCAACTGGCGTTGGCTTTAGTGCAAACTTATCTATTTCGGAACCTACCAGGATACAAAAAGACATGAAAGAAATAGTTCTTGTGATATTGTATGGTAAGTTTAATTACTATCTAAATTGCCAAATTTAAAATGGAACAATATTCGCATTAAAACAATTGATACTCCCGAAGTATGTGAACTAAGATGGCGGACACCGGAACGTAGTATGTGTGCCAGATTAGGGTCAGGCCATAATTTTGATCCACTTTTTGTTCTTTTAGTTCTATTACGAGTTCGGGGACTAGCCAAGTGACTCCTGTAGTATTTGTACCTGGAATTATGGCCTAACCCTAACCTGGTACACATACTATGTTCTAGTGTCCGCCATCTCGTTTCACATACTTTGGGAGTATCAAAAAATCACTGACTATCAAATATAGACAATGAGTGAAGAAGCAGCCATAGGTGCATAAGGAGCTACTATGTTTTGTAAGCAAAGGATTCCTCTTGGTACGGCAGCGTTTACTTAATTTATTAGACCTCGGCTGAAGTGGTGGACATGGTATTTAATCTCTAAATATATAAATTGCGAAGCGCTCCAGTAGTATGTGTACCCAATATGGAGGGAACTAATTTTGTTCGCCTACTTTACATTAAGTTGTGTAAAGGGACTGAAACCTATGGGCAGGGAGTATAATCACTTGGCTAACACAGACAGTCCCCGAACTTGTAATAGAACTAAAATAAGAAAAATTGAATAAAATTATGGCCTCTAACCTTAACCTGGTACATATGCCACGGGGGTACCGATTGCGATACCGACATAGTTCGATAAAACGTGAACGTGGAGAAACTATTATGATCTATGTCAGTAGTTTAAAGCCCGGGTTCCTCGTCACTCTGGGGTTCCGCAAGATTTTATTCGAATTCAAAAGTCTCTATTAATATATTTATATATATTGTCTGAAAATAATCAAAGGCTGTTGGGTTTGCCACTATTATTGAACTTGCTACACTCTAAAATAGCATTCTGTTTTACAAGTATTAGGCTTGCTTTTATATATATTTACAGTTTATATAATTCATGCAATTAAGCTATTGCACAGGGGTCCCCGAGCCACTGAAATATTGCTTTGAGGTTCCGCTACACCATAAAGGTGGGAAAGCATTGGTCTTTGTGAGGGGTGTGCAACCTGCGGGCCACAAGGAAAAATTGTACGACCCGCGAAACGAATTTTTAATTTAGTGTTTAATCTGGTACTGCGAGTAATTCGTGTTTACAGTTTCTTATCTATGACTATGACGCTGCAATGCCCCAATATCTCGCTCGTGCAAAGCGAACATCTCATGTCATAAGATTAATAACAACAATTTTGTGCCTACAACTACTAGAAATCCCGTGTTAAATGAAGGTGCGGCGCACGCGTTTGCACCAAGTTATTTATATCTGTCCCTCCTGTATTAAAGGTCGCACATCCCTGATCTATGTGGTCGAACTGACCAGGGATGCTTACCCTGACACGACCTGTCACTTTCTCTTCTGATGGCCCGACTCTCGTTGCCATACTTGTTTGAAGCAGTGTTTCCCAAACCATGGTTACTCATTTTTATTTTCTAGTAAATTTTGTTGTTGATTTTATATTTGTCACTGAAAGTCTGCTCAATAGTAATTGCATATGTGGGGAGTATATTGCATTTGGGGCAATTTCTGTCGGAAAAATAATATGTAAAAATAATTGTTTTATATTAGTTCCGTGAAAATGTCGTGTCGTTTAGTATTTGAGCATGTCTTCGAGTCGTGAGATTTTAGAAAATTTATTTCAAAAAAATAGGGTCACTTGAAACTGGTTTAAAGCACGTTCATATTTACTCTCTTATAATTCTAGGCCTGACATGGGCAAACTGCGGCCCGCGGGACAAACTCGGCCCCTATGGGTGATTCAATCTGGCCCGCCCGATGCTCCCATAAATTTCGCCTTTTAACCAATTCTGCATGCACTACATAGGTAGTTGTTTTTATTGAAATCTGTATGGTGCAATAGGATTGTTAGTTTATGATCGTAATCTGTACAAGTTGTATTTTTCGTTGCCACAGACTTTTATTTTATGGGGACGTTAATATAACTTTATGTTTACATGGCCCGCCAATCTAAGTAAACAAAACGTTTCGCCATTGGCCCAAAATCCTTGCCCCCCTCTGAAATAGGCGGTATAGATAGTGATGAGATTCAAACTACCAAGAACAGTATATTTTACGTATTGAACTCGCCAATAACAAGCTTCCTCGTTTCAGAAACTGTCACTACGTAAGTTTTAATAACATGACACTCATTTAATAAATATACTGTATAACTCTGGAAAGCCAAACAAAACGCTAGTCGTTTCCTGCTGTCGTATATTGCTGACATGGGCTAGATACGGCCTGTTGGGTTATTTAATCTGGCCCTGCAATAGGCTTGTTAGATTATGATCCTAGTCTGTGAAAGTTGTATTTTAGATTGCCTCAGACTTTTACGGTATCGCACGTTAACAAAACTTTAGATTTTCTAGGTAAGCAAAAGTTTGGCCCCCCGGTGAAAAACCCTTGCCGCATGCGGCTCTAAACAACCTTTTCTGCGGCTCTAGTTAATGCTTTAAAAATTGATTACTTTCAAAAAAAAATTTCATTGAAAACTAATCATTGACTAGAAATAAAAATGCTTGGATTTGATTTTCCTTATCACCGCTTGTAAATTAACCGTGCCTGTTTAAAGTGAACGGTAACCGAGATGCAGATATTTATTAAAATGACAATTGAGTTTCCCATGCTTTTCTATGGTGTTCGTGTCATTTTAGTATTAGATAGGTAAACCTAGCAAATTTACGATTGCGTGAATCCTGAATGTTGATTTGAAATAGCGATTAACTAAATTGGCAATAAAGGCATTTCTAGGATTTCGTGCCTAATAGAGGGTCAGACGCTAATTATAACTAATTCTTTCAAGTTTTAACGTTTTTTTTTTCAACAAAACATTACCCCGATGGTTATTATAGCTAAAATACTTACTGAGTAATGCTCAATTTTCTTTACGGAATTTGCAAATTCAGCACTTCACTTAATGACTCTGATTATGCCATGTCTTCAGGCCTAATTATTACTGCCCAAATGCTTCAAAATTTTACAATTGTAATCATTTTCGATGATAATAGACGCAACAATTCGTGAAAGAGTCCGTGTGCATTGTAACAACGAACTTCACGACTGATTTTACGTTCTACTCTTGGTTCAACGGCCATGCATGGTCGAGTAAAATGTTAACATATTCGAAACATTACTTGGCCGAGGATGGAAGGGATCACTAAAGAGCTAATACATAGTGCTTTAAAAGGAGTAGGACATGACATTTCTTATCTGGTTACAACCAGTGTTTTTCATACAATAACTCATACCAGTTTTTGGAAATTTTTTGGGCATTTTCAAATTCATACTATTTATATATCTAAAGTTTTTCTAACGACCTAAAATCGCCTTTTTCACAATGAAATGCCGAAAAGTCATCTAAGCATTTAATTTTAATCAACTTCATGTTTGGTAATGTAAGAAATGGCTAATGACATGTCCCCAAGAATGCGGAGTTTAAAATCTGGGAAATTTATTTTATATACCTAATCTAGTTTGATATTTCTAAATGTACAGAACGGTCGGTACGTTATTTGCAAAATATGGAATTGAAACGATACGTTAAATGCAAATCTAAGCATATAACACCATAACGCAAAGACAACGACTTCAAATTTGACTTTTTTTCCGATAGCGAGCGCCGCTGGGAAATCTAGCACAATTCACGATTGAGTTGGAGACGCGCGAGTTCGGTGTCCAAGCAGAGCGGCGCAGGTCACGTGGTACCGAATATTCAAATACTAAAATCCCATTCGAATATTTTATTATTCGAATGTTTTTCCCAGCCTTAGTTGTTACGTGTATTGTTGTCACGATGACTTGGTATTTTAAAGACGCGCTTAAGGTTTTTTGCTATTTTACCTTGCGTTGTTTATGTGCGGCTCTTCACAGCTTTGAGGTTTGAAAAGCGGCTCTGGGACTAAAAAAGTTTGAGAACCACTGTTATATATGATCGTCTGCGCGTTTCAGACAACCACACGTCTACTTTGGAAGCCTTCTCGGATGGCGTAGTCAGGTGGGGGTTTGAAATGACATATGCTAAAATTGTTGAGCCAGGCCAACTAGAATGTGTGGGGGCAAACTTCGAGAGACCCACTCAAAGACGTGGTTTTGCTGCCACTGGTAAAGTAAATTATTTCCGTAGCTAGATTTTTATGCCAATTTCGTGCTTACCATTGTATGCCTCTTGTGTTTTATGGTAAAATTTGTTTTCCAGCATTTCTTGAAAATTGTGCTAGTAAAGGATGGATGCATAAGAGGCTACCAGATATTCAAGGGAATGTTACATACAACGACTTCAGTATTACTGATCACCATACAAATAACCCCACTCACGTCGGACATGTACTTTTTATCTACATAACAAGGGTTTCTATGCACATCACTGCAGAGACAACTTGTACAGCGGAACTGAAACTTTCAAGTAAAAATCATCACATCCTATATTTTATTTAATATGGACCAAATATTTCACTCGGTTCCAATGTTGCTGTGGCGTTAACCCACAAGGAGACAAGAGGCCTGGATTTCGTGTTGGGCACCTCAAAAATGTTGTGTCCCAGTTGAATGAATTTCACTTCTTAATAATAATATTCTACCCTTCTGTCTATTATATCTATCTTAAATCAGAACATACCATAACCACCACTTCATAGGCGTACTCTTTCCATCTGTAGAAAGTATAATATCTATTCTGACCTAGAACCATTCTCTATTTTTCACATTTATAATTTTCTAATACTTCATTAAAATACTAAAATCTCTGTTCAGCTTGCTTTTTACTATCTTTCTTGTTCTAATATTAATTCAAAAATTTGATTTAAATTAGTAAGCTGCAATTAAGTCTAAAGATTTTTGGCTTCTGCGAAACTACATTTGAGCGGATGTTTCATGATATGACGTGGATGACTTTTTTTTCAGAAATGGAATCCATCTGTTTGACCCCGGAAGTGAGATGCATATTCTACCAGCCGATTGGATGTAACTTCGACTATGTGGCAGATTTCGATGGCTTCGAATGCGACAAATACGCGTGGTTCGTTTTACCAGAATTGCCATTGTCTCCTCTCAAAATAGGGGACAGGAGCGACGGCGAAAAAATTGTTCAACTTCAGTACAAGTATTTCGAATGCCCGACAGAAAATTCATCGATAGTGACCGGTAAACTTTCTACTTTATATCTTGCTATATTGCTTTTAAAGAACTCCCGTAGTGAGTGTACCAGGTTAGGGTTAGGCCCTAATTTTATTCCGATTTTCCATATTTTAGTTCTATTCCGAGTTCGGGGATTGTCTGTGTTAGCCAAGTGAATATACCCTCTGCCCATAAGCTTCCGTTGATGTAAAGTAGGCGAACAAAATTAGTTACCTCCATATTGGTACACATACTTTTTACGCGCTTTATTCCTGTCATTCTCTCGCCTCGCTATTCACTGTGACCCCTTTTTACTCGCTTCGCGAGCAGGACGGGGATTATATATTGCTTGGCTTAAATATGTGAAACAGATTGTGCAGCGCCCCGACTGGGTAGAGATAACGCTTTATCCACTAGGCTAGGCCACCGCTCCCATTCTTACTACGTATTTTGCAACATAAATGACGGAATTATATTGATGTAGATCACATAAATGGTTCTGCCAGTCACACAGGCCATGTCGCAAAAATATTGTTCTGCGACAAGGCCGACATGAGTCATTTGCTACCTATTTTCACAGGCTCGTCGCTAATTCTAGGTGTAAGTTATTACTTTTAACCATTATAATTATGTATAACTAATTGTAACCTGAATGACTTTGTTACACACAAGGCTCGTATACCAAAACCATTTCCATCGTGATTTTGTGCTTGGTTAAAATTCTAAAGATGAATGAACTTCCTGTTACAAAATCTTCAGTATTATTCTTAGAGTTAACTATGTTGGAATCGCGGGCTGCAATGAAGTTCTCGGGTTAAAAACTCTTTACATATCGTTGGATATCAGTGGCCGCTTGTAGAGAGCCTGTTTCGGATCGAGAAGCGTATAAAAAGCGTGGCCCTTTATTGTAGAAATAGGTCGGTAATTTGGCGTTCTATAAGTATGTGTACCAATATGGAGGTAACTAATTTTGTTCGCCTACTTTACATCAAGTTGTGTAAAGGGACTGAAGCCTATGGGCAGGGGGTATATTCATTTGTCTAACATAGACGTTCATTATAAATTATTATGATCATAAAAAGATCAGCGTATTTATTCTTTGAATGCAAGAATCGTATGTAAATAACTTTATTCAAAAATTTGTACTCAATTAAAATGGGATAAATATAACATGTAATTATTTTCAGTTATCATCCAATTCTACCCAGACTTAGCCTCGCCCACTTTGCTTTGCATGGGTATCCCGTACTAATTAAAGCCGACCCTGTTTACTGATTGTGCTAAACGTTAAGAACTTGCCAGGGGGTATATTCATTTGACTAACATAGACGGTCCCGAACTCGTAATACAACTATAATAAGGAAAATATGGATAAAATTATGGCCTAATCCTAACCTGGTACACACACTACGGGAGTACCGGTAATTTTACATTTACCATCAACCTCTACCCAACCACGCAGGCGTTGGGCAACATATCATTATATAGTGGTTACGGGAAACCACGATATGCCAAAGGCTACTCATAAAGAATTATGGTAGTAATTCGGTATTATTAAAAGCCTTTTCATAAAATTCAGAGACGAAATTGTTGCATAGCCATTGTTTATATTGCCGAATCGCCACTATTCTATTATTATTCAAATATTATGCAAAACGATCCACTGCGTGTCCAATAATACGGATAAATGCAAATTTTATGACAGATGTATCGACCATCACAAATCCTGATCCCATGACACCTTCTCACGATCCCACGACACCTTCTCACGATCCCACGACACCTTCTCACGATCCCACGACACTTTTTCAAAAATTGTCGACAAATGGAGAAATTGTAAAAACGGACAGCGAGACGCAGATGTGCCAAGGCAAAATCGAAATGACTGTAGGACTTTTGATCGCCTTAGCCTTACTTGTCGTATCTTGGGTGGTGTTCGGAGTCGTATTTATGCGAAACCGGTAAGCAATTTTATGTCGATTACCTTATCACAAGTGCGACAATTCTGTGGAAGAGAATTGCTGTAGTCTACTTCCTGTGCTGGGTAGAATTCCACAAACTCGAGTCAAGTCGAATAATGGATTACCTCGAGTTTTCCAAGCTGTTAATACATGAGGCGTCGTTGTCCATAATATTAATAAATCTGGCTTCCCTCATCCGTGATTCGAATGAAAAAAAAACACGTTTTCAACGATGTTTAAAGTATTCGACTCTGACCAGTTAAAAATAACCTTTGAGCCTCGATAAACACCAAGCCAAGCTGCGATTTTGGCGACATATCTCAGTTGGTTTTTGAATGTTTGATTTGATATATGTGCGCCTCTATATTATGTGTACCAGACTAGGGTTAGGCCATAATTTCAGGTACAAATACTACGGGAGTCACTTGGCTAGTCCCCGAACTCGTAATAGAACTAAAATAGGGAAAATTGGGATAAAATTATGGCCTAACCCTAACCTGGTACACATACTACGTTCCGGTGTCCGCCATCTTGATTCACATCTTCGGGAGTACAGGATTTTGCATGTTTGAAACTTACGTAACCCTACTGAAACGCGCAGATTAGCACCGACGGAAATACTCATGAACGCTAGTAAGCCATTGACCTAATTTACGAGTTTTTCTCTTACGTACGACCAGACTCAGGCAATTGCATGCATGCCGGTGAAACAGTGACTAAAAATAAACGTTTGGCGCATATGCGCGGAATGAGGCAAATAGTTGTTGTGTGCAAGTCTGCCATAAACAAGCCTTGGATAAGTCTTAATAAATGGAGCCGCGATTTTAAAATTAAAAGAAATGACTTACGAGATATGTATTATACTTCAGGTCGAAGGTCACCTCGCGCAACCCGGATGTCGGAAGAACTGGGGCGGAAGAATCAAATACTCGGGAAATCTTGGTAAATGCCATATATGGAGACAACTTCGGTAGAATGGGAGACGATTCGCAGCCGAGTAGCTCGAATGCTGTCTATAGCGTGGTCAATAAGAGACGACAGACAGTTAGCACGCCACCTCGCTAATTTAGTCACAGGGTCGGCCTCAACCACTGCTAAGCACTTTCTTAAGTCCCGTGGTATGTGTAACAGGTTAGGGTCAGGCCGTAATTTGGTCACGTTTTTCTTATGTTAGTTCTGTTACGAGTTCGACAACTGTCAGTGTTAGCCACGCCCTCTGCCCATAAGTTTCAGTCTCTTTGCATAACTTTATTACATTAGGCGAATTAGTTACCTCCGTATTATTAGTAAACACACCTCTGGAGCGCCCTCAATTCCTGCGCTAATCTGTGTGTGAATTATTAAATTCAAACAATATAAATTATAATCACGATAAGCAGTGGCGTAACCAGGGGGTGGTTTTGCGGGTCGAACCTCCCCCCCCCCCTTTTTTTTTAAATGTGAAAACAATAGAATCATTTTTCTGTATCATAGACAGCAATTTTTCGTCGCTTAAAATGCTTTTTAGACCCCAAGACCAATAAAAACACGCGTATTCCAGCGTTGGATCGTCCCCGCTAGCTGTTCCGATTCAACTTGGCAAATAAAAATTTCAGGACCAACCCATGCTTTACATCAAGATGTATAAAGGGACTGTAACCTATAGGCAGGGGGATATTCACTTGGCTAACACAGACAGTCCCCGAATTCGTAATAGAACTAAAATAAGGAAAATCGGAATAAAATTATGGCCTAACCCTAACCTGGTACACGTACTACGGAAGTTCCAATAATGATAAATGTAACACGATTCCTTTTCAGGTATCATCCTATCTCTACCCAGACCTATGCCCCGCCCAATCCCGCACGGGTAACCCGTACCAGTTAAGGCCGACCCTGTTTACTGATTGTGCTAAGCGTCCGGAACTCGCTTGCCATACTCGCATGATTTCCTTGCGTGATTTCGCAGGTTCGAATCTTGCGAGGTATAATTATGTTTGGAAGAATTGTTGGAATCCTCGTGGCGCTGGGTGGTTTGTGTAACCCCTGGTTGTTAGCGCTTACTCCATCATAAAAAAACATTTATTTACGGTTGTGGGGTCGGAAAAATTTTGAAAAAAAAACTCCGCAAATTTTTGACTACAACTCCCACTTTGGGTTGATGGAAATCCGATGTAGTAATCAATCAATCTGCAGTAATTGTGTGTCTTAAATAAAAAGCTGACCATCAATTCAAGATTTTTCACCATTGGAATATTCTGTGTATCCTTTCATTCCAGAAAAAAATAGTTTAGATCTGCGTTTGAACTTCTAGGGCTTATGTTCCTCTAGGTTGAAATCGGACTTCAGCTCCGATCATTTGGAAAAATCAAATTTTGATGATTAAAACTTCAGCTTAATTATGCCTTTTTAATAAACGATCAGGAACGCTCATTCAATTTAACTTCCAGTGTAATTAATATTTTTTGACTTTCTATGGAAAATTTCAACTCTTATTATCATCATTCAACTTTCGACGGAATTACTCCAAACTCCGAGCACACGGCTCTGGCTACAAGCAAGCGGTAACGCAAATCACCCAGCTAAATTCGAACAATATTTACCCGCATAATTCCCTCCCTCCACGGGTCTCGAACTTGCAAACACTCGTAAAGCAATGGGTAGTGTAGTGGCAAGCCTATTCCTAACGCTTAGCACGATGCGCCAATTATCGCGACACTTTGTGTTTATGGAACTGACAATGCGAATTACTAGTGGTTCTCAAATCTTTCAAGCTACACTCCCTTTTTAGAATTTGTCAAGTCTAGCGCGCCACTTCAACAATACCTAACTAACAATAAGGTGCTCCGAAGTATGTGAACCAAGATGGCGGACATCGGAACGTAACATGGGTAACAGGTTAGGGTTAGGCGATAATTTTTTTCCAATTTTCCTTATTTTAGTCCTATTAGCAGTTCGAAGACTAGCCAAGAGCCTCCCGTAGTATTTATAGCTAAAATTATGGCCCAACCCTAACCTAGTACACATATTACATTCCGATGTCCGCCATCTTGGTTCGCATACTTCGGGAGCCCCAACAATAAGCTACAAATAACAGATAGTAAGGCGAAAGTATGTTTATTCAAAAAACACGTTGAAAATACGTGGATGGAACGTGAATAATGAAATAAATGAAAAGTTTTGAAATGTAAATATCCAAAATAAGTTGGGCAATATCAAATCTAATAAATATTTTTATTTTTAATTAGCTTCATATCGTCTCAAAAAATTGTCTACGCCCCACTTGCGGGGCGCGCCTCACCTTTTGAGAACCACTAGTCCGTTGTAAATATTTTTCTTTTATTCATCTCATTCATTGATGTATGCATTTTAATTAGTCTTGTTTTATTTATTGGATAGGCTGAAGGCAAAAATGCCCTTCGCCGTAAAAAAGATTTAATTAATTTATTGTTTTCTGAGTATCCGTAGAAAATTTTGTATTCCTAACTATTAGCACAATGCACCACTATCGAAATACTTTGTGTTTATGTAAATGACAATGCGAAATTTATTTTATTATAAATATTTCTCTTCTATCCATCTCATTTATTATTAAAGAAAGACTGTGCAACCTGCGACCCGCGGACTAAATGCGGCCCGTGGAGAAGTGTCCATTTTGAATGAATTGCGGCCCGCAAGCAAGTTTTAATTTAGTTCAATTCGTCATTTGCGAGTAAATCCAATCATTTTGTGTTGCGAAGCCTATACCTGAGTCTAATTTATTATCAATGCCCAACAGCTAGATTGTGTAAACAACGCAGTTCACAAGATCAATAAGCAAAATTTTTGTGCCCACAACTACTAGAAAGCATATGTTATAAATAAAAGTGCGACCTGCGGTTTCATCCATTTATTTATATCTGGCCCTCTTGAATTAACACTTTTTGCACACTCCTACATTAAAGTATACACTTCAATTAGTTTTGTTTTATTCACTGGATAGACTGAAGAGCAAAAATGCCCTTCACCTTAAGAACGATTTAGTTAATTTATTGTTTTTCTAATATCTGTAGAAAAATTTGATTCCGATTATCAACTTGAAAACTTTGATTTCTTGTAAATATTTCTATTTTATTCATCTCATTCATTAAATCATGCATTCCAATTAGTCTTGTGATTGATAGGAAATGAGTTAAACACGCAAATGGTCTGCCTTCGGGGGTTCGTGGGGCGATATATAGAAAGAAACAGTGCTAGGCAGCAGAGGGGCAGCCAGGGAGGGACTGAAAACCGGGACAGGAAGTTCCTCATATGATTAGATCGCAAAGTGAATCCTATCCAATTCTTAATCACCGACCCCGACGCGTTCTCGCCTCATGTCCACAATAGAAGCATTTGTATGTATTTTTTTTTTTGAATACGACTCTTACTTGTGCCATTTGCTCCGAACAAGGCCAGTTGCAAGCATCCACCGATATCTAATGATATCTCAAAGAAGCCTTTCACAGATTTTTTTATTTTTATCAGTTATCGAAGAAAAAGATATTTACATTTTAAAAAATGATGAAAAAAACCCTCAAAATCCAGTAGTAAAATACATGGTACATAATCATCAAAAAATCGACAGTTAGTAACAAATTAGGAAAAAAAGGTAACACAATGATTTATTCAGTAAAGATGACGAATTAGCTGAGCGGGTGTTAATTCCCGGTTCCACAGCCGTGGCAAGGATGCAATATCAAGAAAACGTTAAAAAAGCATGTTTATAAAAAGACACTAAAAGTAACGATGTCATGATGCGGTGTTCACTTAACAAGTTTGCTATTTTTACTTTGCTAAAATGTTTTTTAATGCGGGGTGATCCGAAAAATTGAACCCAGGCCATTCGGAACATATTCTAAAAAGAACATAACTTTTGTGCAGAGGGTCCTGGATTCATAAACAAACAGAAGTTCAATAGTTACATAAATTTTCTTCATTTTCGTAAAAGCAATAAATAATTTGTGGTTCCTGTTTCAATGTCGCAATATCAAGGAAAAGTAAAAAAAAATATAATTATGAAAAGGATACTGTCAGTAACGATGTCATGATGCGGTGTTCACTTAACAAGTTTGCTCATGTCTTATATTGCGTGATTGCGTTATATTGAGTGATCCCTGAGAATATAGGACCCGCGCCATTTGGAACATATTCCAGGAAGAACATAACTTTTGGCAAAGCGTCCCACTTTCCGAAAACTTTTAGGTATATTCATAAACAAACTGAAGTGCTAGATATAAAATAAAGGGTGCTCCCGAAGTATGCGAACCAATATGGCGGACATCGGAACGTAACATGGGTAACAGGTTAGGGTTAGGCGATAATTTTTTTCCAATTTTCCTCATTTTAGTCCTATTATCAGTTCGAAGACTAGCCAAGAGCCTCCCGTAGTATTCAGACCTAAAATTATGGTCTAACTTTAACCTAGTACACATATTACATTCCGGTGTCCGCCATCTTGGTTCGCATACTTCGGGAGCCCCAAATAAAGTAATTGGAGTGGGGAGTTACATAAAAAATTTACTGCTCATCCTAGTAGGTAACTGTTAGTAAGTCAAGATTTTGTGTATACATAATCAAGGGATTGTGTTAGAATAGAAATTTACAAAAATTGTAATAACACAAGATAAATGGGGTACTATACTAACTAAATAATAGGTTAGGTCAATTGTAGTAGGCTATGTGTTCCGGGGCAAATAATCTCATATATTTTATTGAGCCATAAGATTATTTTACGTCATATCACGCGTGAGGTTTAATGCATAAGACATTAGTATTAGCAAGCAGTTATTTTCTTTTCCCTAGTTTAGTAATTTTACTATTTCCCCGGGTATCGGTTCTTTACATAATATAACACATTGGTACGTGCACTTCCTGAGTGCAGATTACTGTACTCATGGCAAATAACTAGTACCTACGTACCTTGTTAAGGTCTTTGCTTGTGACTCAGAGAAACTATGTGCGGCCTCTCCGTTCTCTGTTTGCCTTAGTAGGTAATTTTTAAGATCGGGAAAAATTAGCGGGGGGGGGGGGGGGGGACAGGGGTACAAACATACAAAAAATGTGACATTTCAATAAAAAAGAAGGCACTTTTACTGGGCACCCCTAATGAATAGATTAGTAATGATAAAACAAAAGGTGGACTCATTATGTGATTGAAGTCACAAGGGCGGAGATCGCACAAGGCCGTATTTTCGTACAAAAGTCAATATATTTGAAAAAAAAAATTTTCCTTCTCGAAAATAGTTTCAAAAGTTTTCTTTTTGATTTCCCACTAGACGGCGCCCCCTGCCTGTGGGGGAGGAGTAACTTGTGCTGGAGCGGCCTGGTATGTCCCAGGTGCTGGTTGGTAGTTCTGAGTGCTCGCAAGAACAAATTGTCCATTTGGTAACTGTACCATTTGTTGCTGTTGGTAAACCATGGTCCCGTTGACTTGAGATTTCTGGCAACACTGGCCCGCTGCTGCAAAGGCGAGATGTATAATATTGAGAATCCCGGAGAATGAAGCAAGGAGTCCTAATAGAGCGTGAAGAATGAGGGTTGCCAGAGTATCTGACACAGGACGGCAAGACATTACGGACAATACAGACATGACGAATAACACCGACATGAAGAAAGCTGACACACACCCCATGGCAATATTAGCATTATAGATACATCGTGTCGGGTTTTGTTTTGCACGGATTCCAAGGATGCCAGATGCAAGTAGGAACGCTCCGCACCATATTCCTTGAGCTGTATCCGTAAGTCCAAGGCTCACAAAGTATGTATAAGTATAAGTCTTCATAACCCCAGCAATGGCCAAAGTTGCAATGCACATTGCGAATGAAAGTATTGCAAGAAAAACTTCTGTGATGCCCAAACCATACAGAACATTGGCGTACTTCAGTTCCGGTTCTTGGTGTACCGGAGGTGGTGCAACGACAACCGGAGTCGCATTTGTTTGCTGTTGTTTTTCGTTCGGATTATTCGACATTTTTTAGCTTTTATATTTACTTTATGCAAGAAACTGAAAAAGTAAAAATCTATATTTATTCATATTCCGATAGCTTTTTAAAACATTTTGAACATTATTTATTTCAATAAATGTTGACAAAGGTAAGAATAATAATCGATTAAAATAGGTTTTATGGCAAAATATTTGTAGTTTTACCGTCGTATCTCAGTATATACTTGATATTACCGATAAAAAGTCGACGATTTTTGCTATCGATCTGAAATTTCATGTAAAAAAATTTGAAATTACTGAACATTTTTCATAGCCTTCACTGTACGGCGTCACTTTACTGCTTATTAAAAGGTATATTTCCTAGTCATAAATGTTACTCATCGACGATCGCCAGTGACGAGATAGCGCATATTTTGTTCTTAAGGTTAAATGGGTAGCGTTTTTCAAACTAAGACATATTAATTTATTGGATCGTATTTTTTCAATCTTTTAAACGGAAAATATTTAAGGCAAGAATTATTAACGCGATCAAAAAATTAAACACATATCTGATCCATAAAATTATATACCAGTTTTATTCAGGAACAAACCTTTACAATTTCAAACTGAATGTCAAGGCCCTAGGCCTCAGCCTACTTTATTTATCTATTAGTGAGTTACTGCCACATTTAAACTCGAACAATTTCCGTTTGATGTCAATCACGTTTTGCAAATAAGCGATGCAGTCATCGAAAATTATTGGAAAATTACTGGTAAAAAAAACAAAAACGAGAAAATAGTGCGATAAGAGGCGAGAGGATTTCAGGACTCCTCGCCGTAGTTATGATGCCCTTAACTCAGATAATAATTTAGAAATTGCAGGCGCATCTTAGGCCCATTCTTGATACAAAAATAACAACATTCCAGCCGCGTCATGTTGATGATTTCCTTTGAAATTATGAATAATGTTATGTCATAAAGTTATATGAGGTCGTTTATGACCAAATAATTTTATGAAACTGTATATTATGACGTACCTTACAGCGGAAGATAAACCAACGGTGGAAAACAACTCGTATGCGGAGAAACGTCATCGACCAGTTGGAGCCATTTCAAGTTATAACTCATTAATGGTGGCTTCCAAAAACGTCGAAAAAGAGTGATCGTAGTGGCCACGGAACACTTCCCACAATGCCGCAAATAGTAATGTTTATTAAACGCCTATAAATCGTGGGTCCTGCGTTGATGTATCGTTAGGCTTACCATACGTCCCGATTTAGGCGGGACAGTCCCGCTTTTAGCGTCTTGTCCCGCCGTCCAGACAAGTCAGCCAAAAGTACCGCTTTTGCGTTCAGCCATGCGGCAAAATACACGAACTTGTTCTCGTTGCTGTGTAGCGCAACGCTAGCGTACTTACTGAAGGGAATGCGTTATTTTGTTTGTATCCCGCTAACATTGTTAGCGAACGTATCACATGTAAAATCAATTCTAATTGGTCCAGTTCGGACTTTCACGTGAATGTAACATTGAACAACGTTATTTTAAAGGTGTTATCTACAGAAAAGCATGCTTGGGCGAATAGGTAAATTCTCAATGCTTGAAAACGGCAGACTATTTCATTATTCTTTATCCCTTTTGCTGTACATAAAAAAATCTAAATTCGGATCATTTGTATCGTTAGCGTCTATTCCTATCTATTTTTCGAACTGAACCCTATATATAGACAGGGCATATGCGCATGAACTCTCGATGACAATATGGTCAATGAAGACAGCCGGGATGGCTTAAATGTAGGCATATGTAGTAAAATCGGAAACTGTAATATTACAGGAGGCGCCCCGCTTTGAAGAAAAAAAAAATATGTAAACCCTATGTATCGTAGCCATGGGTTTTAGAGACAAAATACCTTTAAAAATGAAAAATAAATCCTGTATCATACCGTAGCTTGAAACGCTTTTTACACCCCAAGACTCTTGAAAAGCCACGTCATCCGGACCCGCTATCTCTTACAGTCTAACTTGCTAATTATAAATTCAGACCCCCGCCCCCATTTGAAAGAAAAAAAAAATTCTGGTCACTGTTACGGAAATTCTAAAAAATATAGGGTATCTTATGATAATCATATGTGCTTGTAAGTTGTAAAGACTATCTCTACCTAAATAGGAATAATCTCTTTTTAAGAAAAATCATGTATATTTGTGGAATTTCATAGTCTAACTTCTTCAGACAAAACAAGATATAACTGTGAATGCGAAGATAATAAAATTCAAAAAATGTGGGGATGGAACATGGAAGTATCTCCGATTCAAATACTTAAACAAACGAATAACGTTGACCTCACGCTGAACAGGGATATATAATACAACGCGCTCTGTTCATCCTATTAGTTACTACCTCACAAACGAGAACCTTCATTCCAATAATAAAACTCAAGCAATATACACAACTTTAAAGGCTCTTATACTGATCTCGACAAGCTTACATAAAAGTTTCGAGAAATGATGCTATGAGGCTTGTAAATTATAATCTATCAATTGGGAATTCCCCTTCAACGAAAGTATATCATCTTGTCCGCCTTGGGCATTGCAATTAACATGGTTAATTTTAGACGATCACATAAAATGTTGCACGATCAGAATTCAAATTCGCGGAATTTGTAGAACGTGTCGGGGCAGAATAATTGCAATATAACACGTATATGTATATGCTGCCAAGTTACGCCTCGTGGATTAACACGTTAAAACGAAAACAAGCCGCAATAAAGAGAACTAAATCTGGATGTCTGACACGAACGTCATTTTCAAAACTTGAGCTTGTGCCTCATGATAGATTTACGTCATATTCATAATTTTATTAAGGGAATTTTGGTGACGTGATATATAATGAGGCAATTGAAGTAAAACTGTCGAGAAATACGGGAGCAATTTTACAAATCGAGACTTAGGGCTTCGAAAATCGCTTTATGGTATTTTTAAGTAACATCTAAAAACGACAATATACATGCGAGGTAGCAATATACACGACTTGATAACCAAGTTTCTCATATAATTGAGGAAGGGAAACCGATAATTATGGCCTTTCATCCGGTTAAAAATCCAGATTGGGTAGGGAATGTCTGAAATTAGCATCTACACTAATGTTTTACACAGTTTTGGAAACGCTTACATGATCAAAACTTAAACGCATTGGTTCTGCATCTCAACTTTTATAATAATGTTTATCTTTTATTGATTTTTATTCCATTTCTATTACACTTTCACGTATATAACTGCCTCCAGCGCTGGTTTCTCATCACTGGTTTATGGCGTCTCCTTTCACACTGTAATTTATTTTTTTACCATTCTTAATTACGTTTGTCCAATATGTACGGTTTGTGATAACATAAACTACTGGCTGACTGACGCTTTTGTTCCACTTCACGTCAACCACGCGCAGTGTGCGCTGAGAGTGCTATTTAATTAAAATTATTGCCGAACAAGCCATCCATCTGCTTGTGACTTGAACTCAAGATCTGGATCCTAATTTCTACCATAAATAAACTAGTAACTTACTGATTTTTAGAGTTTTCAATATCGGTAGCTTCAAAACTCTAAAATTCCAAATTTTTCATTCAAAATTAACTATTAAAACCTCGGGTGTCGCTGCGCGATAATCAGATTTAGTTCCCCGCGACTTCCCTTCCCCAGTAAATGTATGTATTTATCATTTTCTCGTAATTTGTGTTTTTTTTTAATAGTTGGAAAAAATGAACTTGACCGCTCTGTTTGATTCTGCTGAGAAACACTGAAAATCAGAAAAGGGAGAAATGACAGCATCGACATTATTATTTTAGCATGAGATTCCTCTGACAAGTCATGCTTCAATGAATAATACTTGTGGCGTGGTCAGAATCATACTTAATATGACCTTATTACAGTCTTGTTTGAACTTGTCGGACGAACCAGTTATCGCCCCACCACTATTCTGGTCTGTTCACCTTTCTTATCCGTTTAGGATAAGTTAGATTGGTTAAATTATTTATGCTTAGCATCGATTTTTCTAAAAAATAAAATTATTTTAACACCTCCGAACTCATCATTGCCTGAAAAATTTAGCCGTTGCGCAATATCAAGATAGTACCGAAACTGGTACGATGGTTCCCAACTATTCTTGGTACATTCCTGCCTTTTGAAACTCTTCATTCCTTCTCAATATGCATGTTTTTTTTGTTCCGATTTTCAAACCGCAATGGATCATAAGCTAATGGATACGTACAACTCACTCTGGCTTTTATACAGTTTTATTAGTGTTTAACGTGTGCACATATATATGCATCACAATAATACTGAAAAGGTAAAAATACACGCAAATACAAAGTAGCATTACCTTCACTGAAACAATCAATTTTGGAAAACTAATTTATCTAACACCACGTGCATAAGCAAGCCCTGCGCCGCCAAAGCCTGTGTACGTGCTGTTTACGGCTTAACTTGTTTTTAAAAGCCTCAGTCACGCTTGCGTATGACGTCATAGGCCATCGTTAAACTGTTGTTCTCGAAACGGGAGAAACCAGCCTCGCGTAATGTGTCTGTTTTATTCCGTTTGTTGTGGAATTAGTATCGAAAATGCGCTGGTATTTTGAATAGAAACTTAATTGTCGGATGTATATCGTATTGAAAACATAAAATGTCGCAATTTTGATGTAGTGCGCATAACATTCTTGCATTTTATGATCTCAAGTTCTTATTTTGCTTAAAGAAAGGCACTTGAGAGCCTGAATGAAATGTGTAAAGTTACTGTACGCATGCTCTGACTCAAACTTACAATTTGTTAACATAAGGTTATATATTGTTATTGCCCTGCCACTAAATTTTATGTCTGTTTTCCCAAGAATAGTATTGGTTAGGATATATTTCCGCATTCCGACATAACTCGTAACCTAAAATAATCAGAATCAAATAATGAAATGATGGGAAAATTATTAGTCGCGAGAAACGAGGTACTACCTTGTGTATATAGTCAAAATGCTTAGCGAATTTATTTATTTGAATATATGGCGTTTTCGAAGAAGGCTCTATAATTAATCCACAATTGGTCTCTGCCATATCTGTATG